ATGTCGCCTTATCTTGGTGATTATGGTGACATTTGACCTTGCAAACAATACCTAATCACTTGCATAGAATTTTTTTTAAAAATCAGTAGTTTAGCTTGCACATGATTGGATGATGGAAGTCAGCATAGCTTTACCTCATTCACTAAACTAAGGTGAAACTTCCCCTGCAAAGTGCAATTTCCCTTGCAAAGTGAACAGCCTTCTTGACTTCAGTAAATCAACACCACTGCGTCAGGTAATACTGTATCATTACTGCATCAATATATTGTACAATAAGGACAGTCAGATTTTAAGATGACAGAATTTTCTGTATTCAGGCAGGTGAGGAATAAGCAGGTCTCTAGCCCTGAATCTCCATTTTTCCCTGTAACCGTCAGTTGTCCACGACAATATTAATAAATGTGTGCCAGTAAGAATAATATGTGGCAACTAGTAATAAAAACCGCCAATGAGCAAATTCAGCATACTTGTAAAGATGATCAGCATATATCGCAGAAAGGATGGGAGGGCACGAGAAGATAGGAAAGGATGCCTGCGCCATGGTTGAGTCTGTTTTTTTATGTGAAATGAATTACATAAATGGCCAACCCATGCTAAAATGTATAGATATCTGCATCAAACAATTCAGTACAGTGTGGGTCAAATCCTAGATAAATCTTCAAATGGGACACCAGAAAAAAAAATGGCAGGAATTTTATCATTCCGTATGCTATCCTTTGGTAGTCAGTATATCTTTAAACCATCATTATGGAGTATGTAGCATATAGCCAACACAATCTTATCTTCTCTGTGATGTAAAAGTCCTCGAAAACATGGGAGTGTAAAATTAGTCTTGTCATTCTCCTGTCATGCATGATTGATGAAATATAACTGTAGGTAAAAGTAATTACTGTAGGGTCTCATTCAGGGCAGTAGCTCAAAGAACATAGGTGCTAATGAAATGGAGATGGCATTTCTTTAGTAAATACATTTTTGTTATTTGCTATTAATGATCAGCCATTACCAGTTTTCCCTAATTAAAATTTGAGTAGCGTTCTGGGGTTACATAAGTACATAGTTGTTGAGGTTGAATCAAAACACTGAGTTCATCTAGTTCATGCTATGTCAATGTGTATATATGTGTGTGTGTTTGTGTGTGTATGTGTATGAGTTACTAAGTGTACATGTACCCCTGTATATTGTTCTCTATGAGGAAAGCATCTAAAAGGAGCCACAACTCTACTAAATTCACTGTCTGGTGAAGGGAGTTCCACAATTTTACAGCTCTCATAGTAAAGAATCCTTTTCACAGTTTAAGATTAAACCTTTTTTCTTCCAATCTGAGGTGGTGGCCTCTTGTCTTCTTAAGTGAACTAACAGTAAAAAGTTCATTATGGATTCTGTCATTACCATTAAGCAATTTGTACATTGCTGTCTCCTCTTAATCTCCTCTTTTCCAGAGTGAAATGATGCACATGGTCAAATGTCCTAGTCACATGTCTAGTCCCATGTGCCAGAGTTTCAGATTTTCTTGGCCAACCTATGACTCTTCAGAATGAGGTCCATAATAGAAAACCGAGACAACACACCTGAGCTTACAAATCTTCCTCTTCAGTATCCAGGGCTTTAGCTAGGGCTAGGCGACCATACAGGTGGGGGAGAGCAGCGGGATCCGAGGAGAAGCTGCAGGCTGTGCCGCTCCTCTGTTCGGTGGCCAAGCACCTCAGGATAGAGAGCAAAGGATCGGTAAACATCTGTCACATTTCCTGATCCTCTTTTTGCAGAACAAACACTGGAGTGATCAAGCTCAGAGCAGTCTACTCTGAGCCTGATGAAGGGGGCCCTATGCAGCCCCAAAAGCGCTTGATATTTTGAGTGACATCTATCAATAAATGGATTTGCACTGACTTGGATTTTGTCATGCTGGTGTGCTGATGACATCTCTATTTAAAGTTGTACTGTGTACGGCGCCATCCGCGGTCATTTCAAACACCTATTAACTCTTTGGGATTTCAGGTAAGGAGTGCTACAGGATTTATGGACATCTGTAAAAAAAACTAGTACTATGTGTCCCCAGTTATGCATGAGCATTAAGTGCTTTACATCACTTCCTATTCATTCACTCAGTAAAGAGGCTTCTCGCCATTCAGAATCTGGTTGATAGTAAATATGCTGACCCGCTGGCTTCAGGACTTTCTAAGTCTCTGATCAGGAGCGCGTATTCAGATAAGGAAAGTCAGAGAAAAGTTAGAAGTCCTTCTTTTCATACTTGTTTTTGGTCTGTGATGAATGATGAAGTGATGAGGCAAGAGGGACAGCATGAAAGGCAATTAGCAGTTTCATGAGCGGTCAGCAAAGGCAGCCTGAGGTCTGGATTATTTGTCAACAAAATTTTTTAAAAAAACTATGAACTTCTAATTTAGCCCTGTGAACTAATACAATTGCAGCTGCTTAGAAAGTATTGTAGATGTAAATGCTAATTTCCCTCCCACAATACAGAGAGATACAATTTCTGAAAGCATCATTTCATTTATTCCCTTTAGTCCCTGGACCTCCCCACCCCAACCCACACACACAAACACACACTTTAAATTTATATATCTATATATTCTTTGGGCCAGTACAGTGACATCACAGGTCTTCTCCTTACTGCTGCACTGAACTCTTACGTAATGAATATTAAACCTAGAAGATTAGTGACATCTAGTGGAAGAAAGGAAATACTGCAGGGGACAGAAAATCAATAATACAATAAAAGCTGCATTTCTTATTTTAATAGGTTATTAAAATAACTATAGCAGGGGACAGCTTGTAAGTGGATATTGCAGCAAATGCTGCATCTCTTATTTTAATAAGCTATTTATTTTGTATTCTTTAGCCTGAGTTCTTATTTAAATGATGACCAGAGGTGGAATTGTAATAAAAGGGCAACAGGGCAATTTTAATGATTTCACTGAAGTGGAGTCCAATATTAGACACTCTGGAAAGGTTGCATGAATAGGAAATCTTTAGTTTCACCTTCATGAAGTCAGATCAATTCATCATATACGTTATCTGTAATCTTGCTTCAAACAGGATAATTTATTTTTTAATAAATTTGCAGACAAATAGATATATGAATTGTAAATGATAATTAAGTCTCTAAAAGAATCTTTAAGCCAGAGCGATCATAGCTGTAATGACAGCCCAAACCCTAAAGGAAATTAAAACAAAGTTTAACTCACCTTGACAAATCTAAATATAAAATAGAAAGTATTGTGCAATGTGCAGGTTAAAAAAAATTAAAAAAGGAAGGAAAACTACAGTTGCATTTTTAAACACAATAGAAATGTATGTGTCAGCAAAGGTCCTCAGCTGTATATGATGCACCAGTCCAAGTACCCCAAATATGCATAGAAGTAGATGGATAGCCACATGCCATCTAAATCTTTTTAGTAAGTCTATTTAGTAAGGTAAGTCTATACAGGCCAGATTTGTGTCATGAACTGAGAACTGGTGATGTAGGTTGCTTTAAAAAACAAAGAGTTGCTTTCCAAGCATAGAATATCAAAAGTGGAAAAAAAATTTATCTGCAAACTGCAACCATTCCGCTACTACAGAAATAAGTGACAACCCAATACATCTCTACTAATCACAGAAAATGATGCTACCATTCATTAGTAAACCCTTGGTAGATAAAAGCATTTATAAATGTATGGATTGTATGTGTGACAGGCAGAAAGAAAAAGTTCCATTACTGGTTCCATCTAATATATGACTTCACTGCATGTCTATAAGTCCTTTTGATAACATTATTCATGCCATTCATGTGGTGTTTACAATGTTTATGTTAGAAAAAGTTTAAAGTTTAAAATTTAAAGTAACACAAAACTCAGAAGTTAAACCCTAAAAATACATTCAAGTACCTTAAGGCCCCATTCACACCTGACCGTTTTGTAGCGCGTCCTACGCTCGATGAACGCTCTACAAAACGGTCAAAAAAATAAATAGCATTGTAGTCAATGGTATCGTTCCCACCTGTCCGTATTTACGCCCGTCCCGAACGCACTACAAAACGGCCCACACATGAAAAGGTCCCGGAGCGTTTTTTGCTGCGTATTGGTCCGTTTTGTAGGGCGTTTTCCATTTGTATACTGCCAAGTAGCCTTTGGAATCGCACGACGGTCGCGCGACTTTTTTACCGCGAGTCGCGGTAAAAAAAACGCGTGGCGGTCGCGCGACAGACGCGCATATTACAATACGCATAGGTGTGAATGGGGCCTAACTAATAACAAAAATGTATCTTATTTGTATCTTATTTGTGTATCTTATTTGTGTAGTCCATCACAGGAGTGATCCCGTGATGGACTACAATCTCAATACAAATTAGTATACTAAAAGTGAGATTGTAGTCCATTACAGAAGTGATCTTGGAGAGGTGGCTACTTTAAAACACACACAGGGAACATGGGTAACAAATTTAGACACTCTCCAGAAGGAAGGACAGTGTCAGCATGAATTCAAAGATGATTTGAGGATCTACAGCTGAGTGATACACAAATAAAATACATTTCTGTTAATAGTTAAGTTACTTGAATGTATTTTTAAGATTTAACTCCTGAGTTTAGTGTCACTTTAAACTCAACTGGTGGGCACACCATAACTTGTAAGATGACCTCGAGTACATAGAGCAGATACTCCCCGATAGCCACAGGCTATTGTATTTTTGTATTTTTTTTGCTTGCAGAGCAGTATCCTTAAAACTTATATGTTCTATTTTGCAAATATCAACCACAATATCTATGACTGTCCATTCCCAGCCACCCTAAGCCAAATGTGGTTTGTGGTCTCACTGGCCAGTTGGAGGGAAAGAATGTTTGTAAGGGCAATCTAATTGGAAAATTTTCATTCTCCACCTAGATGCATTCTTGTTCACCCTGTAAGTTGTTTGGAATCTATTTTTATTATGTATTTATTTTTTGTCTACATGTGTTAAATATTGTAATGTCTATTGAAATATCTGTTTTCTTCACCACTTTCAGGAGACAACAATGGGTGGTCTCAGCAGCTTGATAAACACTTTGAGAAACACTATGAGAAGTTTGGCGTGAACAGCTACGACTCAGAGATGAAAGAGGCAGATTGCAGTAAGTAGTCAGTGTGTGAATCTACCAAGGACTTTAAAGCTCCTGAAAGTTCTACAGCATAGTAATAACATCAAATAACTATGCATTAAGTGTTATTACTGGGTTGAAACTCATAAAACACATATATACATTGCTTGGATTCATGTACACCTTTGATTAAAATTATTTTGTTTTGCTATAAAAGTCATATCATTTTTATACAGTATAAGTAGAAGGGACAATCAGACTTAAAAGACAGATAATGCTTTCAGAATATTCTATAATTCCAGCCAGACATCTGAATACACAGTTGACATTATTATATCTATACTGTTCTTTCAGATAAATATTTGTACTTTCATTCATCCTCTCTTGTGATACATTCACCAAAAGTAGAGAATGACTGCACTCAGGGCATCCCTACAATTTTCGCAGACTTAGTTGGGGGGATAGAAGAGGGTGCTGGCGGTGCAAGTTTGGCAGGGGTGGTAGAGCGTCACAGGTTGCTAAGAGCTCTTAGCAACCTGGGTTTCTCTGGATGGAAAGGAGGCGGCCGGCACATCTAACACACAGCCACACACCCCCCCCCCACGTGACCCAATGAGATGCCGCCTGAAGCAACCGCCTCAGGCTGCCTCATTACAAGAACGTTCCTGGCTGCACTATTCAGTTCCTTTACCAATTGCTATCACACAGGAGCTAACAAATCACTGTGTGATAGCATTTGGAGGTGACAGGTTCTCTTTATTATCCAGTTGCTTACTGGATAATGAATATAATATAGAAATATGTGATATTTTAATCATCTCACTTCTGCCCCAACATGCCTGTCTACTGCACCCAGTAGCTTTAACTTTCCTCCATCCAGTCTAATGTACATACCTTATAAAGTGTGCAATGGTGTGGGTGGCTTAGAGTATGTTGTTACTATCTGCCCCGTGGCTGTTGGACAGGCAGCTTCTTCTCTACTTTCCTCTCCTCTAGGAAAACAAATAGCAGCATTGCCTATTGTATAGTGCCACTTGTATCTGACAGCCACCTACCTCTCTCCATGCTTCGTCCCCACGGCTCCGTCCTCGCGGGTCTTCAGGATGGAGAGCAGTAAGCAGAGCGGCAGGGTTAAAAGTAACCCTACCGCTACGTGTAGACAGTGAGAGGGGAGAGCTGTGCTCTTCCTCTCTCACTTGTCACAGGAGTTCCAGCACAATGCTGTGCTAGAACTCCTGTATTGGAGGTGACAGGTTCAATAAAGAGAACCTGTCACCTCCAAATGCTATCACACAGAGATTTGTTAGCTCCTGTGTGATAGCAATAAAGTTAGGTGAAAAAAATGATAACAAAATAATGACATAATTAAAAATAAGTAAAAAAAATAAGTAAAAAATAATAAGTAATAATAATTACATTAAAAAATAAAGTTAAAAAAGTAAGAAAAATATTAAAAAATA